TCCTGGCAACGTGTCTTGCCCATAATATTCTCAATCTAACTTCATTATTAACCTCCATCAATAACCGCCAATTCGAACCCTTAGATTGTTAGACGGACGAGATAAAAATCACCCAAATAATCCAAAAAACACATTAAGCCAATTCAGTCTGCGAGAACCAATACTTCTAACCAGCAGGCATATAGTTTTTCGAGCTCATAACAAAGAGGCAATGCAGGCGCCCAAAATTCAATCAAACAGGACATAATAAACAGAGCCACCCAGGCTACTCTACTGCTATACTGGATGGACATTCTTCGAGCCGTAACCAGTGATGTCAAAGAAGATACAACGAGGAAAGAGTGCCCTGATAGACAAAACCATACACCACCTAATAACTGCCAGCACGTCCCTTTATCTATTGCCGCAGTCACAATTAGCTGACCCCTTCTTTCCTATTACATCCGCTCACAACCGTCATGTGCATCTGCTACAACGCGCGCGCAATCCAAGGTCCACAAAACACAAAACATACACTTCAATGAAGCCATGACAACTAGAGATACGCCATCGGCCCCACACAAGCTACACCTCAGATCACAACACACACAAACATACCAGACAACCAAACACCTAACACACACACACACATTACACGAACACACAACCTACAACCACACACACACCACACAAACACACAAACACACAATATATACTGAGCACTCATTATCCACCCACATGCCTACATCCTCCACTGAGGAGGACTATTGGTATGTTTCTGCCACATAACAAAATCAATGTCGATGCTGAGAGCAGTTGGTGGTATAAAACAACTGAGTGAAACAAAGGCTGAGCTAATAAAAGAAGATCAAATAAAACACAGGCTACTTTAGGCATGATACATGGCACCAGCCATTTTGGCAGAAAACCAACCATCATTTGGAGGCCCTATTCTGTTATAAAAATCGGGTTGGTGGTAAAACGGTAAAGGATGTGAGTTATGGACTCTGCAGTGGCCAGTGGGCAACAAGATAGTTTCCAGCTCTGATAGCTAAGCAGTATATATGATAAAAGTGCACAATGTGATGTAAAAATGGGGCACTTAAACTGAAAGAACTTCCATTAATTTGGCACTTCCTGTGGCTACCTTCAACTGGTTGAAAAACACCCTCTGCCTTATGATCCCGTTTCATCTGCTTCTTAACCCACGCTCAGACTACAGCCTTTGAACACTGAGGTGCTATGAATATCAAAAGGCATGAAGCCCAGGATTTACTTTTGACTGCATAGTTGTGGTTAAAGTGCAGTATAGTAAATGAGATTAAAAAAAAACAACAAAAGACTCAGCTGGTCCCAAATCATGGCTGCAGAACAGTATTGAGAAGAAAAACCAGTGAGGACTGCAAACCATTCATCAACCCCCCTCTCTCAATGGGTACATGGCTCCCTCTGTTGGTGAGATGAGGGTTTGTCAAATTATTCACATTTCCTCTAAAATAACAATTGAAACATAGCAGGATCCTAAATGATCCTGAAAAAAATTAATTACCATTCAACTCTTACACAGCTGATATTGACTGGTGTAAACAATAAACAGATCATTGTGTTGTTATTATGTTGCGATCTGGGACTTAAGAATGAACTCTGAGAAGCAAAGGGATGTTTAAATAAAGACACAACAACTCATCATCTAACTGAGACGCTCACATGTCACAAAGCCCAAAATGATGTTGAATTAGTTATTACTTGAAAATGATCCCTACTCGCTACCCTGACTTCATATTGTTATTCATAATTGGTCCTCCATAAACACTATATTTCACTTGTTCCTTCTGCTGACGGCAGAATAAAGAATACATTATGTGACAAAACTGTATTCAGGTTGAGCAACACCCTAGTGCCCAGTACATCTAACTTTGCTAAATGAAGAAATTAGAACCTGTTTATATTAGCGAGGTATTTAATTACTGTAATCTGCTTAGCAAATAAGTAGCATTAATCTATTTGGCATGTAATATCCATGAACAGAGAGCTTGAGGGCCTCTGGGTGAAGTGTTTTGTTGTGTTTAAAAATGATTTATTCAGACCTCTCCGCCTTGCATGCAGTGGCTTGGGAAAGCATTCGCATATATTCTTGGTACTACTGTCAATACTATCGGTTAAAAACACACAGATCAGAGATGTTTTTAAACTATTGCAATACCAAACTCTATGTCTGTCTTTGTTGTATTTAATCTGCTTCAACTTTATGCTGCCCACTTGTACATGGGAAGGAAAGGTTTAGCTTTTGCATGTTTTTGCAATATCGACAATGTCAGTACAGTAATCAATAGGTGTATGCTTGAGAGTTAAATTCATCCAATTTGTTGGCTGTAAAACAAGTGGAGTCTTGCTGTTGTGTGTGCTCTAGATGTGAAACCTCAGGTAGAATATGCTCAGAATGTATCACCTCTTTGCTGCAGAATATTATACTTCCCAACCCCTAATCACATTTGTCTTTAGTTACTGCTGCTGAGAATGAGAAGTCAACAACACAAAAAACTAAAAAGCTGAAAATATGCTGTGCACAGCAGTGCTTCTCTTCTGGGTGCCAGCTGGTGCAGGGCAAACCAAAGTAAACCAAACAAAATGTATTCCAGCACACACCAGGATACTAGGATTGACACTGTTTTATTACATTAAAAAACCCCAAAAAGGAGAAAACTACGTGTTTCGCATGTTGCTTTATCAGATTTGCTGGTGTGCCTTTAAATAATCAGGTGCTGATTAACAGGGAATCCAACAGGTTCATGTTCCAGTACAATACAATAGCAAATATTATTCTACTACCACTAAAGATGAAATATAAATATTACATTTTATAATTAACAATAAGATACAATTCATATCTGAGTGCAAAAACTGGCTATTCCACACACTATATTTTCCCATATTACAATATTTCTTGTAATACTGTAATATTGTGTACAGCTGATTATTGAAAAGGCACATGTTATGGTAATTAAGCACATGGTGAATCTGAGGAAGCAACATGTGAAACATGTAGCTCGCTCCTTTTTGTTTTATTTTTAATGTAATAAAACAGTATCAACCCTAGTATCCTCATATGCACTGAAATTTTTGTTGTTTGGTCAACACAGAAAGCTACTTCTGCCATGCAACTGACTGATAAACAACGATTGACAACCCAAGAGTACTTCAGAGATTTAGTTTGATTTGTCCTGGTCAATAAAAACTGATAAAAATGACCGTAATAGGAATGAAACAATTGTTACAGCATTTATGTGTAATGACTGAGAGGACAAGAGCATAATACAAAAATCTTTGGCACTTACCACTGCTGTTCTTATAGGAGGGTCCAGGTACTGCAGCAGATGGAGGGGATGCTGGGACAGACGCACTTGAGGCCGACTTCTCTGGAGTTGAGGTCTTACCTGCAAGTTGAATTAACACCATAAGGGACTTTTTTTTTTTTTTTTTTTTTACAACTGTTTTTACAACTTCATGCATGAGCATTTTAAAAGATCCATACTGTCTACAGTATATAGCGTGGGATTTCCAATCTTCCCTCCAGTTTCCTCGGCCGACTGCAATATCTCCATGTCCAGCACGATCACCACAACCCTGGAATACAAGAAGAAAAAAGCTAAAATTAGGCCAAAGGGGATTACATGCTGCAAACAAATAAAAATAGGGAGAGGAAGGAAGATAAAAACACATACCTGCCATCTGACAATGAGTTGGTGATGGTCCTCTTCACCTTACACACACAGTTAGGTACCAGGAGGTTGTCTTCTGGCAAATGGTTTAACTGTGTGGCCAGCAGGAAGGCTACATACACAAACACACACATATCCAAATATGTCAATGCAGAAAAAAGTTATTCTACAGATTTATCTATGACTGGTACTGGATTATCTTCTGAACTGCAAGTTTTCCTTAGCGTTTCTGTACTGATATTTCATGTTTGTCTGTCAAACTGCTGCCAAAAGGCAAAATATGTACCTTGGCAAACCGAACCCACAGTCTGACAGTGTTCTGGCTAGTGCAAGATACTCACAAGACAAAGAGTGCTGACCGTCGCTCAATATGAGCCGGTACCTTTGTAGACCAGTCTCACCAGTGATCTTACGGATGTTCTGGCAAACACAGAGGGAGGGAAGGATTTTATAAGCAAAAATACAAAGCAGTATGTTTTCACGTGTGCGTCTCTGCACTCATCTTAATCTATGCATTTTACACAGGTGTGATGTGGAAACCTGAAGCCTCCAGTGCACACACACTGAGAATGTGTTCACTCACCAGCAGCTGCAGCACAGGATCGTTCACCTCTGAGCCTTTGAACAGGGCCTAGACCATAACATACATGGACTTGTTAGTATATGCTGCCTGGCCCCATCCTGTCCCATAACATTACCATCCGGATAAAGTTACTGTCAATCATTAACTGGAGATTAATGAAGTGGTTATTATGCATTGTAGAGATAATTGTATAGCTTTTAATTGGCTCTATTAGCTCAGAGGATCCTTCTTGGGCATCAAGAACATTTTATTTAGATGGTACGGGTTTTATTTTGAAAGTTGAGGTCGGAAGCTCGTGTTTGCCCATTTGATCCACGCTAGCTTGACGTCGGTTCTCTGACTGCCGCGTGTTGGCCTGAAACGGAATCAAAACAAACCCCTAAACTGTCCCCCGGTGCTCGGGTGCTTTTATTTTAGTTCCCGATGGATCTTCCATGTGTCCAGTGGCAAGATCACGTTGCACAGAAATGGACCGGACTCGACCCCGAGCTAAAGGAGCATTTTACATCCCTGCTTGAAGTAGACGATGTTTTTAAATACACGCTGACTCTGACAACGTGAGTAGCTAGCTCAACATTGCGTCTGTTTTGTACTTGTGGGTTTCCAGTCACTATCTGATCAGTCTGAGAGTTTATGAGACAAATCTAAATGGTCTTTGAGACCTGGATTGGACCACTTTTTCCTCTCATGTTTCACTTTTGCAGACACTGTATTCACTTGTTTAAAGTGAACATACAGGTGTACATATTCACATCCTGTAACTCAAAAGTACTCATCTCTGCTACAAGTCTTGCATTAAAAATGTCTCTTAAGTAAAAGTATGTTGAGTATAATCAGGTAAGTACTAAAAAAGACTGCCCCTGTGACTTTTATACTATAATATACCACTAGATTATTATTACTCATGCAATAATATAAAAAAAAAGATGTATAGGACTGTAACTAATGATTATTTTAATTATGGATTGATCTGCTAATAATGTTTCATTTTAGTATGAAAATAGTGAGAAATGCGGTAACATAACTCAGAGCCCAAAAGTGACACCTTCACAATGCTTTGTTTTGTCCAACCAACAGTCCAAAGTGCAAAGTAATTTTAAATAAACTGAGATAATTAAAAGGAAAATGAGCTAAATCCTCCCATTTGAGAATCTGTAACCATAAATGTTTGCACATTTTTACTTTGATTATCATTATCACTACTTGCCAATTCATTTTCACTTCAGTTAATAGACTAATAGTTTCAGATGCGGTTGTGTATACTGTTAGGTATTTTAATTTATAACAATCATCATATATTATAAGCTCTTTGTATGTTTTGTCTGAAAAAAAGCTTAAAGGAAACATAGTGGAGTATAAAGTACACGATTTCCCTCTGAAATGTAGTGGAATAGTATAAAATGGCATAAAAAGAAAAGACTCAAGTACAAGTAGCACAAATTCGTTCATACAGTACTTAAGTAAATGTACTAAGTTACATTCCACCACTGAACATAAGCTTTCCTGCTGTATGTTGAACACAGAGACACTAATTTAGTTTCTCTGTAGTCTGTGATGGTCCGCATTTCTGTTTCATAGCCAAGATGATCTGGACTTTGTGCAGTCGGTCTCTGCAGGATACTCTGTACAGAAGGACACAGAACAAGCAGCCAAATGCAGGGAGAGGGGCAACTCTAGCTTCAAGAGCAGAGACTACACTGCAGCCGCTCTGCACTATTCACAGGTGAAGTCAAAATCATATTCTCTTGTTCTATATGAGCCAGAAAATAGAAACTTCAGGTCCACCATTCCATTCAAAACGCTAGCCTGCTTTTGATTATGTATGAGCTGTATCTGACCTTTTTCTTTTAAGTCTTATTTCATCTAAAACATACAACTGTTTAGCTGTTTTTTGGATATGGGATCAGTAGAAGCTGAACAGGATATAACATAGTAATAGTTGTGATGCATTGTAAACAGTATTCATCAGATAATGTTGTATATCTCCCTAAACTGGTTCAAAATCTGATGGACTGTAAATACAAATTGTTTACATTTTGAGAACAGTACTGAAAAAATGCATTTGGGATTTTATAGCAGTATACCTTAAACATGGTGTCCTTCCCAGTCCTAATTAACATGCATCAACATCCAGCTCCTTTGTCTCTTTTCATGACAGGGCATATGTTGTGCTCCCCAAAGTTCGGAGCAGCTGTCTCTGTGCTTTGCCAACCGCTCCGCTGCGCTCTACCATCTGCAGCACTACCAGGTGAGTTGGCGCCATCTTCAACAATGAAATAATGAGGTAGTGTTGTACTTGTGGTATCATTAAAACCTGCTTAAACCAGTTCTGCTTTTTATTCGTCAACTACAGATGGGCCTGTAGATGTTTAACAGATTGTATCCTTGTGTGATCAGGTTGATCAGCACTTGACTGTAAGAATCCTGCAGGAAAAATGTGTACTATATATAAACAGTACAGTCACATGCTTAAGATGTAGTTTATATTGAAGTCCACACAAATAGCCGATGGTTTGGGTACATAAATGGGTTATTTCATAATGATGTCGAAGGGTCTGTGAGAAAACATTAAGGAGCTTTCTCCTCAGCTACCTTGGTAATATAAGATTTTCACTACAGGAACCCATATAATATCATTGAGAGGTTATTGTAGATGTACTTCTGGAACCAGAGGCTCATCTTCTATAATGCCTTACTTAATTGAAGCCTATCAGCCTCACGATTGGCTAATTGACTCAACCTTGTTTCATGAATTCATTTCTTCGACTCTAATAAAGCAAGTCAGACACATTCCAGAGTCTTTTATGGGCTGCCTTTTACTACCTGTGTAGGGCTAAATGACAGATTTAGATGAAATCTGAAATGTGCAGGATAATAATTCACTCAGAGGCCTTTTGAGGTTTAAATAGACTAGTAATGAAGCTTCTGCCACTACTGATGCCACAATGACCACTTCTCACTTAGTGTCCTATAGAAATGGCTTTATTATTCCTTTCTCAGGTCAGCATCTCCTGCTTCGATAGTAGATCCGTACTCATTCTTATTTATTATTTATTATTTAATATTTAAATGTTAATCATCTGTGGCTGAACTCAAGTGTTTCTTCTTTTCCTCAGGAATCCCTTGATGATATTGACAAAGCTCTAAAGAATGGCTATCCCTCTCATCTTTTACACAAACTAGAGGACCGCCGCACGCAGTGCCTCAAACACCTCTCTGCAGGCCGAAAGGCAAAAGAGGATCATCACAATCCTGCCTCAAAGAATAATAAAGGTCCAGACAGAGAGGGACCTCTCACATTTGGCATTTGTCCTCAAGCTGCTGTCAGCTTCAGCCCAGAGAAAGGTCGACACCTGGTGGCTGCAGAGAGGATAGCAGCCGGGGAGGTGATCCTCAATGACAGGCCGTACAGCTGTGTCCTTATACCAGGGATGGAGGAGGTGAAAGGGACGGGAGGAAGAGAGGACACGGAGAGAGGAGTGTTGCTTGGAATGGAGCACAGGCGCTGTCACAGGTGTTTGACTGAAACACTGTGTCCTGTGCCGTGCGAGGGGTGTAACTACAGCCGATACTGTTCAGCTTCCTGTCAGCGAGACGCCTGGGAAGAGCATCACCGCTGGGAGTGTCCGCTCGCAGCAGATCTGATGGTGATGGGTGTGATGTTGCAGCTCGCTCTGAGGGTGACAATGAAGGCGGGGTTCAAAAACATCCAAATGGCCAGGGATCCAATCAGAGACAAGCACACAAAGTCAGAGCCAAGCTGTCTAAGCAGGGAGTCCGGTGATTCCTATGCAAGTCATGCTTCATATTACGGTGACTCTTATCTGAGCGTGTTTCACCTGCTGCACCACCTGAAACGCCACAGCCCTCCTCTGCGTTTCCTGTGTGCGGTTACCGTGGCAACGCTCTACCTAAAGCTCAGCAAGGCAGGACCTCCACCTGCATCTTGGGACCTCAGTAGACCTTCGGAGGGGAACAACCAATCACAAGACGAGGAGGGTGGTATCGCAGATTGGAGCTCGGAGCTGTGGCTGCTGGGAAGTGCAGTTCTGAGGCACATCCTGCAGCTGATGTGTAACGCCCAGGCAATCGTCACGCTGCAAGATACAGGTGAAGAGTGTTATCACCATGCCTCAAGTTTTATCACAATATGAAATCATGACTGTGTCTCAAAGTCGGAAAGATGGAATAAGTTTATGAGTGTTGCATCAGTGCAAAGCCACCACAAGATGATCCAAGTAGTTAAAAACCCTAAACACCGACATTTAAGAAACCAGAACCAGTGAATTTGGGGCATTTTTGATTAAGCGTTTATCGAAATTGTTCATTTTCTGGTAATTGATTGATTAAATCAGCTCTACTGTAATGGTATCCATGCTTATACAGTCCACTATAGCAGAATTTGTGCTTTTTTTTAATAATGCATGATGACGAAGACGATGTTCTTGTGTTGCTCAATGACCTTTACTTTCCGGTTCTTGCGACTCACAGGAGCAACAACCACGGCAGTGCAGTCGAGCAGGGAAATCCGCATTGCTACGGCAATATTTCCAACTCTAAGTCTTCTGAATCATTCCTGCTGTCCCAACACAAGCCTGGTGTTCAGCACTGGAACCGGTGCTGATCCCTCAGGTTCAGATGTGTCTGCAGATCTCAGTGAGAGTGTATCTGAGGACAGAAGCACAGCCCGCGGAGTGACTGTAACTGTCAGAGCAGCCAAAGTTATCACTCCTGGACAAGAGATCCTGCATTGCTATGGTAGGAAAATTAGGCTTTTTGTCAAGGTGCTGATATATTTCATAAATCACAGGGGCAAATAGCAACATTTCTACAGCTCTCTCCACTGAAATGAGAGCTTCATTGTGTTGTTCTTTTATCTTTTGAGCTTTAACCTGTGCTGTTGTGCATCAACTCCCACCCTCCCTCACTCAGGTCCCCACAGCAGTAGGATGGTGACCCAAGAACGCCAGCGTCTCCTGCAGGATCAGTACTACTTCCTGTGTCAGTGTGAGGCCTGTACTCAGCAGCAGCAGCAGGAGGAGGGTACAGAGGGTACAGAGAGCAGAGAGCAGAAGTCAGATGCTGGAAATCTACATAAGTCTGGTCTCCTGTGTTGCAAGTGCAAAGGCCCTCTCAGAGTAGGTGTTTATTAATGTTTTTGAGGATTTTCTTTTTACAATTCTATATGATTAATTGCACTACTTATTGATGAATTCCTCTTTTGACATTTATCTTACAGCTGTTGACTTTTGAGACCCTTTATATGATTTTCAGAAAAGCAGTGAGGACAGAAGGATAGAATTTATATGTTCGCACTCAACCTGTGGTCACCGTATGCCTTCATCTGAAGTGAGTCACAGGCTGCAGGGGATCAGGGTCGCCCTGGAGGAGGCTGTGGACCTCATGGAGAGAGAGAAGCCAGGTCATTATGATACATTATGCACATATAATAATGTGTGTGTCATTTGTTCAGGAGCCTTTTGTTACATCTCTGCTACATAGCTTCTGCTCTGCCCTCCCTCAGATGAGGCTCTGAGACTGTTGAGAAGGACCCAGTGTCAGTCCGGACTGATCCTCGCAGAGACACACCCACTGCAGGGGGAGCTGGCAGATGCCACAGCCAGAGCATATGCCACAATGGGTGAGAATAATAAAGCATGAGTATTTGCAGATGAGCTTTGTGGTTACTATATCCCTACTGGTTCATGTGGGTAACAGATGGGCTGTTTTTTGTGCTCTGTTCTGTTTGTCTGTTATGTATGTATATATATATATATATATATACACATTTGTGAATACCGTCTAATAGTCCCAACTAACAATCCCACCCAAACAAAACCAAAAACAATAAAATGTTAACTTCTTAATGGAAGTTTCAATTGATTACACTTTTACTATTACTATTAATGAATGTTTCTACTAATTGGTTGTTAAGGTTTAAACTTACTGGAGGGCCGCCACCTGAAAAGGTCTGGTTCTGGAAACCCAGTGCACCTTTTTTATGAGGCTTAACATACTTTAACCAGTTGAGTAGATATCACAACTCAAAATACTCTTTAATGATAGAAAAAAAAACATGAAAGGGTTAAGGACTGATTAAATTTCTATACCAATGTACTACTATACCAAACTATTGATAGCAGTGGTTTCTCGGAAAACAAGAATATACTGAAACATACATATGCAAACAGATTCAAGCAAACCCTATAATTGGATTTATAACCCTGTATAAATAGCTGGATAATGTGTATTGGCTGCTACAATACACATTGATTGGATTAGTACTAACAGCAAGTGAACAAGCACAGTGATGATGACGATGAAATGCTTCATAGTATCATGTTTAATTTCAGATATGTTGCTAAAGCAAAGAAATCAAATGTGTGTCAAATTAATCAATATGTGACCTAAAGATTTTTCAGTCCTCTTACCGCTTTGTTTCTTTCTATAGGTGACTGGGACAATGCAGCCTCCCATCTGGAGCGAAGCACTGTAGCTATTGGCTCCCAGTACGGAGAGGACAGTATTGAACTGGCTCGTCAACTCTTCAAATTAGCTCAGCTACACTTCAATGGGTGAGTAAGTCATAGAAATAGTGAGGAACATTTTCAGAGCGTGTTGTTTTCAACATCTGATTATAAATACGTATTAATACTAACTGTAATAATAAGTTAATAACAATTTCATGATTTTGACTTATTAGTAGAACTAACATCTCTTCTTTGCTGTTTTTCTCACCTCCTTCTCCCAGTGGTGCCAGAGGCCAAGCTCTCTCTGTCATCCCCAAGGTCAGACACCTCCTCTGCCTTCACTGTGGCCCTCACTGTCATGAAATACAGGAGCTGCAAGCTATGGAGAACTGCCTACGAGGCTAGTCTTACATGTACACAAGAGTGGAAATCTTAACAATGTGATTCCAGTTGTGAACTTTGAATACTGATTAAAATCTGTTAAATCTTCTGTGTACTTCTGTTGATATAAAAAAAGTATATATTACTGTTCATAAGCACTTTTGTATACATATACAGGTACTTTTATACCATTATACAGTAATAAGTATACTGTTTTAGAGGTGACGTATGAGTCTGCACAGCTAACAAATGGCCACAGGTATACATGCAGCTGATTGTGGCTCTCTGACCTCTTGCTGTCAGAATGTATCCATCAATAATTTCAATTTCATGCTTCAGTGGTAGCCTTGCAGTGTGAGGCAACTTATCCACCAGGTACTTCCAGGTTACATGTACTTCTCTAAATGAAACTGAAGTAAATGTGTGCGTACTTCATGATTGTGGTTAAGAAATGTTTTACACGGCAAGTTAATCAATCTATACAATCTGCAAATACCCTCAGGTACTACATACAGATATAGGGAGTCCTCTGACCTTTAGGTGGCAGCAGTTATCCACTGACAAATTCAATTTCATGCTTCGATGGCCTGAAAGCAAGATTTAGCTCTGACTCTTGAACCTACAGTACCCACCCCATGTCCTCCAAGACCTTTATACATTCAACTTAAAGGTCATTTATGAATCTATGAAAGCATTTCGTAAAGGTCTTTAGTTTTTTTTTCCCCCTCTTAACTTATAATCAATTAGTAACCTTCTACTGTGCCACATAAACGGCAAGAAAACAAGGGGTCTGATCACTGTGAGCTCTGCTGCAAAGGCTCATTGGTTTTCAGAGATGAGGGACAGCCCCTGTTCAGCAATAAAATCTCGATCGCAGCTGGAACTCCCGAGGCATCTGCCAGTTAGACATCACCAGTATCTGGAGGGCATCCAATCCGACAGATTCGTACTTAGGGAAAGTTAAGGTCAGCTCAGAAGCTCAAAGAAGCAGCTGGTGAAATCAGCCAAGGAGTCGATTAACAGTGAATTCAAAAAGGCTCCACGCTGCAAGTTCCTGCTGATTATTGTTGAGATGAGGTTGCCGCAGGTACAGGACCAAATAAAGTAAAGCCATTCATGAACTGTTGAAACTAAACTGGGGTCAATTTTGAGTCCAAAGAATTAGGCAATATCACAGATATTGTAATTAAATTCAGAAAAAACAAGATTAGGGCGGCAACCAGCAATTATTTTCATCACCTGTTAATCTGATGATTATTTTCAGAGAATCTATACAACTAATATATAAAAATTACCTAACAGGCAATCAGTGCTGCAAATAGAAACTTGTATCTTCAAAATCAATTTATTATCACAAATAATTTTATTTTGTGTCATTTTTGATATTGTTTTTTTTATTTTTGTATGTTTTTCCATATAGTAGATGTCCAAACTAGCTGGCTTGAATGAATGTCATACCGCTTGTTAAATGTTCAACCACTCTATGCTCAAACAACACGATACAAACCATACATGCTGTACTATGAAGTATCTCCAAGTTGTATTATATATAAATAACATTTTCTTTTGGTATAAATCATGGAATTTACTGACTGAATCATATTTAATTTCAAATGGATTTGATAGTGTAATTCCACTCCCTGCTCAAATCACTGCTTGAAAACCCTCAGCACCTCTGCTGTATATTAACATAATGTTAACATGACATGTCAGATAATGTCTTCTTCCAAGTGGGAGAGTCACTGATGCAGATCAAAGTCTGCAAATGCAGAGCTAAAGATAATATTGCTTACAGAGACGTTGAGTGATACCGCACACAATAGGAGATGTTTGCTAATGTAACCTAACATCCTCTACTGTACAGCTCATGATAACATACAGTTGTCATAGTAATCCTAGATAATAAAACTACAGTATTTGAATGTTAAAATCCAGAAATGTTCCGCTCTAAACGCACTGCTTAAAGAATACTAATGTAGAAAAGCCATTGACTATAAATCAGGTTCTAGTTTGTCTTTGCACTGCTCACACAAATTGTGTGCATCTCAAGATCTAAAACTGCTCATTCATGTTTCAGATATTTTTGTTTGTTTGCTTTTGTGAGCTAAGCCATGTGTGCTTCTATATCCGTCTGGAGCTCAGGGAGAAAATGTGAGCTCATGTTCAAAGGGAAAAATGCAAGCGAACTAAATATTTCGAAGTAGGGAAAGAAAAGAAGCATTAGGAGGGGAAACACAGGCAGCATGAATAAATCTACAGACCTCCAGTATCAGATCACAGTTTCCTTATTTGACTGTCCAGTGCCATTTGAGGCCATTTCCAGTGGCTGTGATCTCGGGCTTATCAGATGTCTGGCTATACATAATGCAATCAAAATTGGCCAGACAGCAAACAAAAAGCTGTTGCGTGTGTATTCTGTAACAAGGCCTGCGTCAATATCTGTAACACAGACCGACAGAGTTACTAACAGCTGAGTTGGCCTGACTCAACGTGTCTCCTGTAAGCCGCTGGTCATCAACGTTACAACCACCCCTACATGAATTATACACACAGCTGTAACCATAACAATGAACTCTGACCTTAAGTGTGGAGGTGTGGCTGGCTATTAAAGTGGTTAACGAGAGTAAAATTTGCCATTTGAATCCCATTTTTCCTGTATTTCTACATAAATAATATAAATAATAGAATATGGTAACCAATGCTGAAATAATGAGGTTGGTCATCATGCTAAATTCTGCCAGAATAATATTAAATATGAATAGAAAAAGCTGTCTTACATCATTATGACAACTTTAAATATGAATAACATTTCTTTATTCCTTCCTTCTTCCTTTAATCTCTTCCTTCCACCCCATCTCAATATCCTGGTCTAAATTACTAAATAGCCTTCTAATCAACCAGCTCACATGTCCTTTCTTTCTTTTCATCCCCTCTCCAAAGAAAGACATTAAATGTAACTGCTGCTGCCGCCTGCTCATTCCGTGAGCATGTGTGGAACACGTCCGCATCCACAGCTGGTCCAGGTCCACAGACGCCAAAGACAATATTGAACTGTGTAGGCAGGCTGTCCATGTGAACTACTCGAGTATATCAGAGCAAAATCAGCAGCTCAGTTCACATTCTCAGCCAGAATCTGACAGCTGGCCAAACAGTTAAAAAAAAATAATAATCAAAAGATTTTGCCCTGTCACTCAGTGGGGGACTCACAAGGGACATATTTAAACTAAGCTTGGAGTTTACAGCCACACTAGCTGCAATATTAATTGTAAAGAAAGCCAAACCAATAGATCAACCAAAATATAAATGGAAACTCTGGGATCACCAAAGTCGACTAAGACCATGAATGTTTGCACCAAATTGTACAGTTGTCGAGACATTTGACTCAAAGTCAGAGGGGTTCATCCTCTGGGGACCGGGAAAGTCTGTACAGGCATTTGGCTGGCAATCAATCCAGTAGCTGTAGGTGGACTGACCCACTGACCATCCATGGAGCCATGCATGGCTGAAAAAAAATTGAGCAGATTACCCTTCTGACATCATTCGGGTAATTTTCCTCAGACTTGACATGACAAAGCTTTTTTTTGTTCAAGTTGAGAAACACGACCCAAAAGACAACCTGAAATAAAAACCAAAAGGGACTCAATGCTGGCATAATGAAACTGTTCACCTTTGAGCTTTTTGTCATATCTTAGCTTTAATAGTCTGTTGTTGTTGTTGTTTGTGGTCATAATTTATTTTTATTTTGGTACTTAAACAGTCACAATCTCATTGACCTCTCTTTTACCACTTATTCATCAACTTGCACTTTAAATCCTCCCATGCAGACCCCTGTGGAGGGTCTCATGTCACCTTTACCGGACAAAATAGCTCTCTTGTCGCCTTCCTCCCATCCTTATAGTTACATGAGCCCCTCACTCTGCTCTCTGAGAGCTCCGACCCCCTCAAGCTCTCCGATGTCTGCATCTGCCTTTATGTGGATTTGTTCCTTTAGTCAGTCTCCTCGATGCTCCATCTTTCAGCCCCTCTCTTCACAGCAGAGGACATCTGATACATGATGCAGACGATGGTAATGTGGCTGGTGCTCATGTAAAAATAAAATCCCCATCAGTCTTCCACACAGGCAAGGTTATTACGCACTATTATGGAAATGGCTGACAGTAAATAATAGTCACTCAAGACTGAGTGTTAAGTATAATGATGTATTTAAAACAGTTTGGAAAGACAAAAATAGAAACATTCATTAACTTTTGCTTGCACTTGCAGGCTACAATTTCAACATCCAAATCATTATTAGAAAGAGAGCGATGGCTTGTGGGATATGTTTGAGGGCTGGTGTAGTGTCAGCTGCAGAGAAGGGGGCTTGCTAAATTTGGGACGTGCACAAGAGAGGCATGTACACTACCGGACAAGGTGAGGGTCAGCTGGGCCAACAGACCCGCCGGCAGTCACTCTACTGAAACAGTTCACCTTGCTGGAACACAGTCACACACCTATGACTAAGCAGCTCGAACCATACAAGGTAAGGATTTGATTGGCACTCCAATCTATGTATTTTTAGCCATGCTACTGTAGTGCCACATGGCTCTGGGGATGGCGGTCAGTGGGTTGGTCCACCACCATGAGGCTGACATTTGTGGTTTTACTATAAGACAAATTTAGTGCCAAAATCAGGTCAAATGTTTAATTTTATGACCAAATACCTGAAAAATTAATGACATTCCCATCAGCCTCATCTGTAACTTGTGTTGCTTATTGCTCATTTCTAATTAGTAACACAATTCCTACACACTTTCAAAATTCCATATTTTTCCAGACTTAGATTTTCAGACCATATTTGACAGATGTAAATAATTGGTTTTAAAATATAACTGTTAACATGTATGTAACATGCCTTGTTTATTCACTGTGTCAATAGAAACAATGAAGAACGCAGCCATAAAGGTTTACTTACGCAGAAAAGATGAAGATTCTGAGGATTAGGAGGATTGAGAAACATAATTGGGGAAACAAATATTGTGCATAGGAACCCTGTAGTAGATGTTGCTTGCTGGAAGATGATGATCATGGAAAAGATTACACCTGCTAAGCATCTGCATGTTAGTGTTATTG